TGCATCCGCCTCAGCACGGCCTGGACGCCGGGTCACAACACAAGCTCGGTGACAGAGAGTCCTGCCTGCTACTCAGTATTCTCCGGAGGCAGCTGAGGTGGACAGCAATGACAATCCTTGCTTGGCTTTCGTATATCGTGCATATCTTCATCCACTATAACAGCACGGTCAAAACAACAAGGCAGAGGATACCGTGAGAAATTCGGACGCAGCGGTCTACCCTGCCGAAGGTCTGACTGGCGCTAGGAATTTGATTTGTTAGCTCAGCAGCCGTTTCAGCGGTTTTTGGAGCTGCACAGTCAAGGTACGCGCAGTCGTTTGCTGGTGTGAGGCGAGTTCCAGAGTTTTTAAACCGGGGTTCGTTGTAAGAATTATTTGGCACCAGTCGAAGCACGATCACCGTCTTCTGCATGCCAATTGTTAATCCAAAGCTTCAGTAGCCAGAAGTAAATATATGTTCACTCCGCTGCATGCCCTCTTCTTTTAGAATGGTTAACGTGCAGTCAGTTGCAGACAATAAATAGTAGACAAGGTCAAGTTAAGTAGAGAGCTTTATGAATCGGGTCGACGTTTGTTCCTGGACGCTCCTCAGGGACGGCATCCATCAGTAGAGCAAAGAACACGAGGTCGAAGTGGTTGAGAGTGAGTATACAACTCTAATCAACTGCATTTTTTCACCAAAAATTTTTCAGAGACTGTCTGGTGCACTGTGACGTGTGCCATCATCCGGAATTATGGCTGGTTGAGTCACCCCGTACATCCGCATGTCTGCATAATTTTTTCCCAGTCTACTACGATTCACTGCATTGAAGGCCCTTGTACAATCCAAGAAAAGTGATTTAGAGGTTGGACAGAATTACCTGACACATGTTTTGCTGTTGGCGGACTGCGAAAAGCATATCTATAATTCTCAGATATTCCTGGAATCTACACCGTATTTCTGAAAGGAATCCTTCTTCAAGGTGGATATTCAAGTGTTTGGGTAGGGAACTGTCGAAGAGCTGTCTGCGATGTCGAGGAATAAGGTGTGCGGTTATCGCAGTGCTGCCCGTCCCCCTGCCTTGGTAAAATCCTCGATATACTGGGCGATTTACTCTTATTGTTGCATCACCTAGGAAAGTGATGCAAGATCGTCCCAAGTTTGGGGTAAGCATATATGTACATTGTGGCTGGGATTGTGTTGGCGCCGGACCGTTATTGCACCGATGTGACTGTATCTTGAAGGGAAAATGGGGGGCACTTGCAGTCCAAATGAAAAGTGAACTGTGATGAGGTCTGCGCAGATTACGGAAGATTCATTGGAGGCACAATTAAAGTGCTTCCTCGAGCGCTTTAAGGACTAAGACCTCTGTGGGATTATGTCCTCTGAGCGGAGCAGTGACACTAACCCTCTGGCTTGCTGCCAGTTTAAATAACCGAGGAGAAATTCGTCATCCTACCGCGGGCGGTGTATATTTGGGCGTCTTCAGTCCTGCGAGACACCTTCGGTTCACACGTGCGGCCCAAATAATTGGACTAGTTCTGCGAGAGAAACGACCAATCAGCGCGTGGCACGCTGTAGGCCAGAATGTTTCACAAAGCTCATCGCACGCCACTGGCAGAAATGTTCGAGAACGGCCAGAACCCCATAAATAAGTTAAAGTTGACTAGCTAGGAAATCCGCTGTTTCCTGTTGGCCTTAAATAAACTGTTTGTTCACAACAACCGGTTCTCTTGTCTTTTTCCACCTACCTGTCGAGGTACAATAATACTGCAGGTGGTCGGGGAATCCCAGGAGAGAGAGAGGGAGGGGGAGAGCCGTGCGGCAATTAAGTTAGTAGCAAATTACCTTGTTCCAAATTCACCTCGAACTGCGGCATTCGCGTGGCTGCGTAAGATCCCACCAGCTCGTCCATGCGCCTAGAAAATGGGCCAACCAGGCCCAGTTTTTGAAGAACGTGATTGCCCCTCCGGGAGGCCGCGCTGGCACCGCTCAGGGGCAGAAAGTGGCGCAGATTCTTCAGCAAAACGGCTGATTTGCAGCCAGCGATGAGCGAGAGCTGCCTATGACGCTCGCTCTGAACAAACTACAAGGGCAGTATAAATTCTACTTAGATGTAGAGAAAAAAATACTTTTTTTCATGGTCTAATTCAGGTACAGTGAAACTAAAGAGCATAAAAAGAAATGCAAAAACGTAGTTTTCGGTACGCCTCATGTAACAGTAGACAAACTGAATGTACCTGATCAGGTGTTAATTTATTATAGGGATTGCTTTCGGGTGGGTCGAATTCACCCTGTCGTAGACGAGTGAGGAAGAGTGGTCTAGCCAATGCCTCCAGTTGAGAGCGCTTGATAATCCCCGTCTTCACAAGCAGTGGCAGGTCACTGTAAACTCCCCTCCAACCTGGCTCAGAGTTCTCAATATTCACACCTGCACGCACGGAGGCTAAGGCGGCCTCGAAAAAGGTGCTGAAAGCCTTGTGCTCGGAAACCATAAATTGCAGTGCGCCTTCATCACTGATTACAAAACCTACAATGAGAAGTAATAAAGGAAATGAAGCAAAGGGAATAGGGGGCAAGTAAAGAAGCGGAAAAGTCAGACTCTCCTCCTAGACTGTTACAGACGTTGAGCTAAAAAAATACCGGCATCCAGAAACGCGATACGATTTCAAGCAGATATAACTGCGCATTCCTTAAATACAAGCCAGGAATGGCGCATAGAAACTCTGTTGACTTTATAAACAGGTTTGCGTTAAGTGTATTTTTAACTCCTTGGAGGAAAATTATAAATCC